CCCGCCTGCTCTCCTCGCGGAGGTCTGTGTAGGTGGCGGGAGGCAGCACACAGTTCTCTCCTGCCTCCCCATCCCTGCTCAGCTGACTGGGGACGGGCTCCCACCGCAAACACCCCACTGTTTACTTGCCCCCGTGGAGGGTGAGAGGCGTCAGGGGGCCTGGAGGGGAGACGCAGCCATAGCAGCCATCACCTGGAATGCATTACAGCAGCTGCGACTAATTAAACTTTGATTTCCTTAAATTTCGATCTTCTTGGAAATTCCTTCAGAGCCCGATGGTATTCAAGGCTGTGGCAGAAAGTAAATACCAGACGAGCCTCAGGGCCTCCGGGCGGCCGTTCTCTCCCCTCCGCGCCCCCTGTCTCTCTGCCCCCCTCTGTGTGCCTCCGGAGGCCTCACGAGAGAATTCCCTCTATGATCTCCAAGCCACAGCCCCCAGAAGCTGATTTGGGGTTTCCACCTGGGTGAGAAACGGCTCCTTCTGTCCCGATGGGGGTGGCCAGGATGTGGCGGGGGCAGGGCTTGAAGTACCTGCAGGCGCGAAGCAGCCCCCGCCTGGGTGGCCTGTGCTGTTGGGTTCCCATCCGTGGCTGGCCCTGGGGCCATCTCAGGCAGCCCCCTCCTGGGCCAGCCAGCCACGCAGAGTCCCACAGAGAGGGGCGACTCACCGGCAGGCGGCACGGGGCTCACAGGAGGCTCGGCTGAGTGCTGGATGTGGCAGCTTCTGGGTGTGGGCACTGGGGCTCCGTGAGGTCTCCATGTCGCCTCCTGTCTGTCTGTGAGGGCGGGGCTATGGCGGATGGCATCATTTATTGAGCATCTATTTTGTGCCATGTCCGGGGCAGAATCATTTTCATCTGTTCTCCCCAGTCTTCTCAGTAGTCCTGTAAAGACTGTAAGGCAGTAGGGCCTTGGTTGGCAGAGGAAGTCAGAGGTCAGGAAGTCACCCGAGGTCAGAGAGGTGGAGAAACTGGCACGCAGCTACCCAGTAAGAGCCAAGACAGAAACCCTGGCCTGTCCTCACAGGCCTCCGCAGCTTGAAATGCGTTGTAGGCTTTGGGTGGAATGGAAGGGAATGGCATCCATTTATTGGGACATTCTTTCTTCTTTTTAAAAGATTAAAGGGATTTTGATGTTTTCTTTCTCAATTTAAAGGCACCAACAAACACTTGTTTTCTATAGGAAAATGGGACATGCAAGGAAGCATCCATAATCCCACCAACCAGAAACCATATCTGTTCTCATCCTGCTGTGTATGTGTGTGCTCGAGTGTGCACACATGAGCACATGTGTGTGTGTGTTTCTGTTCATTTAAAATGATTCATGGAGCGTGTGCAAAAGAGTCCCTGACACTGTGAGAAAGGTTGTGGACACAGGACAGTGAGTTGTAGAATCCCAGCCCAACCACTTATTAAATGTGACCTTGACAAGTTTCTTTTTATTTTATTTTTAAAATTTTTTATTGTCTAAAGTTTTACATATGTCTCCTTTCCCCCCAGTTAACCCTCCCCAGCCATTCCCACCCTGGGCAAGCCCCCACCGCCCCAGTGTCTGTGTCCACTGGTTATGCTAATCTGCATGCACACACGTCCTTGGGTGGCTCTCTAACCCCCCTTCCCCCCCTACCATTTGTCTCTGGATCTGTTCTTGTTTAGCAAATTATATTGATCATTATATCTCAAACATGAGTGAGATCATGTGATATTTCTCTTTCTCCAACTGGCTTATTTCGCTTAGCATAATTCTCCCCAGTTCCATCCATGCTGTTGCAATTGGTAGAGATTCCTTCTTTTTTATACCAGCATAGTATTCCATTGTGTGGATGTACCACAGTTTCCTATTGGGTTGGATTGGGCACTTGGGTTTTTTCCAAATCTTAGCTATTGTAAATTGTGCTGCTATCAACACAGGGGTGCATATATCCTTTCCAATTGGTGTTTCTGGTTTCTTGGGATATAGTCCCAGAAGTGGGATTACTGGGTCAAATGGGAGTTCCATTTTTTACTTTTTGAGGAAACTCCATACTGTCTTCTGCAGTGGCTGCACCAGTCTGCATTCCCACCAGCACTGCAGGAGGGTTCCTTTTTCTCCGCATCCTCTCCAGCATTTGTCGTTTGTTGATTTGTTGATAGCCATTCTGACACGTGTGAGATGGCATCTCATTGTTATTTTGATTTGCATCTCTCAGATGATTAGTGACTTTGAACAAGTTTTCATATGTCTCTGGGCCTTCTGTATGTCCTCTTTCGAAAAGTGTCTATTTAGATCCTTTGCCCATTTTTAAAAAAATATATTTTATTATTTTTTTTACAGAGAGGAAGGGAGAGAAATAGAGAGCTAGAAACACCCATGGGAGAGAAACATCGACCAGCTGCCTCCTGCACAACCCCCCTCAGGATGTGCCTGCAGCCAAGGCACATGCCCTTACCCGGAATCGAACCCGGGACCTTTCAGTCCACAGGCCGATGCTCTATCCACTGAGCCAAACCGGCTTTGGCCTTTGCCCATTTTTTTGATTGGATCGTTTATCTTCCTTTTGTTAAGCTGCATGAGTTCTCTGTAAATTTTGGAGATTAAACCCTTATCTGAAATATCATTGGCAGATACGTTCTCCCATGCAGTGGGCTTTCTTGTTGTTTTGTTGATGGTTTCCACCTTAGTAAGTTTCTTAATGCCATGTGCCTCAGTTTCTTCATCTGCAAAATGGGCAGAATAGCAGTATCTACCTCCTGGGGGTGTCAGGAGATTCAGTGGGATCCTGCCTGGAAAACAGCACAGCGCCTCAGGTGCGATAAGCACTGGATGTCAGCTATTAGCACGTGAGGAGATCTGCATTTACTCTGAGAGCAATGGGGAGCCATTGAGGGTTTATCGCAGGGGAATGTAATATGATCCGATTGATTTCTTTGGATTGATTTTTCAAAGACCCCATTGGCTGCTTACTAGAGAAGGGACTGGGGAGGGTGTCAGCATAGAGGTGGGCCCCTCGGACCTCCTTGGGCTGTGCCTCCTCCAAGCAGGAGAAGAGTGTGGGCCAAGGGCACTTGCCCCCTGGGGCTCCTCCGACACCCCTCCCACAAGAGCCTAACCTGAGCACCGGGAGCCTGGGGTGGCAGAGGGGTGTCCACCTGCAGGGTGTGGCTGCAGGGTGGCCAGAGCAGGAGGGCGGGGCTGATGGTCTCCGTTCACACCTCTGGGGGGATGGGCCTATGGCAGCCCGCCATTGCCACCTTCGGGAGAGGAGTGCACGAACTCAAGGGTGTTCAGCCAAGTCTCCGGGAGCTGGTGGGAGATCCAACAAGGCTGAGGGGTGGGCTTCTGCCCACAGACCCGGGGGTGTGGAGGGACCCCATGGAGAAGGCTGGCCTGGCGGAGGGAAGACTCTGAGTTGGGTGTGTACATGTGGAGGCTGAGGATCTCTCGGAACATTTAAAATAGGTCAGAGAAGCGCCCGCTGGCTGGCGTGGCTCAGTGGTTGAGCGTCACCTATGAACCAGGAGGTCGCGGTTCGATCCCCAGTCAGGGCACGTGCCCGGGTGGCAGGCTTGATTCCCAGTGGGGGGTGTGCAGGAGGCAGCTGACCAATGATTCTCTCTCATCATTGATGTATCTATTTCTCTCTTCCTCTCCCTTCCTTTCTGAAATAAAAATATATTTTAAAAAATAAGTCAGATAAGCAATTTATTCTCTCTCTCTTTCAACACACACACACACACACACACACACACACACACACCTGGTTTTCCTGGAATAATGTGTTGAAAGGCTCTAAACTCAAGAAGTTCAGATCCCCTACTCCCCCCCCCCCCCCAAGGCTTGTCCTATTAATCTGCCTGTAGTCATTGACACCCTAGTATGAATGAGTGACTTTCCAGTTTGGCCTCAGAGCATGGTGTCCGCCTGCCCTGTGTCACGGGGATGGCCCTCACGAAGGGCCAAGGACAAGCTTGATTTATCCTGTTATTCCATCCTCCACGGGCAGAGAACGTGGTGGGCCCTGCCCCTCAGACCTGTTGGTCCAACTCCACCTACGCTCTCTGGAGTCCCCTCCAGACTTCTGGCCCCTATTCCTGCTTTCAGTAGAGGGTCACATGGTTCCCACATCTGTCAGCAGCTCAGTCCTAGCTCACTCTGCTGAGCAGTCGGTATCTTTCCCCCGTGTAGGCAGGGGAGGGATCTGCCTGTCACAGCCCACAGCCGCATGTGGCTCTCAGCTGGGGCCTGCGGCCGCTTTTGCCACCCCTTCTCCCGGCGAGGAGGGCGGCAGCGGTGTCCTGACATTTCATTGTGCCTGGCTCTACTTGGACATCTGTGCCCTCAAGTGAGGCCACAGGGCAGGCCTGGTCCCAGCGGGTACCACAGTCCAGCAGTCAGGCTGCTGGCCCCCTCTCCCCGCTCCCTGAGCCCACAGCACACATGGGCAGCGGCTGAGCTACTCCGGCTCCCCTGGGCAGGGAGCCGCAGGGTAGACGCAGCCCAGCTGGCCACAGCTCCCCTGCAGGCGGAGTGTGGGCTGCGGAGGGAACCACAGGGGGAGAAAGGAGGAGCCCCCCCCCCCCCGCCCCCCGCCAAGAGGCCAGAGGGACAGAGCTGCATCCTGGGTGCTCCCTGAGTCCTCGGGACAGGAGGGGATGTGAGGCTCAGAGAGGTGGTGACGGGTTCCCGTCACCCGGCAGCTGAGGGTCTCAAACTCAGATGGTTCAACCCTGATTTCCTGTCCAGAACGCTCTTCCTATCTCCTTTCACGCCCCTAGTTTATTCATTTTGCCAAGAAATATGTACTGCCTGGCTCCTGTGCTCATTGCTGCCGGCTGCTGTTGCACACAGCAGGCCCGGTTCCCAAGGAGGCGTACATGGGGGGTAGGGGTGGGGGACAGACAGCTAACACGGAGCAGAAACACCGCTCAGAGGAGCTTTAGCCCAGGGCTGGGCGCCCAGGAGCGGCTCCGTGAATGCTTGTCACATGGACGGGCGTGAGGCTCTGAAGAGAACAGAGCAAGGCACGGCTTTGGCTGGACGGCAGGCCTGTCCCCCTGGGTCTCTCAGATGCCCCGTGCCAGAGCAAACTGTGGCCTCGAACCATTGCCTGACCTCTGCCCGGAGGCTGCAGGCAATGAAGCATGTTGCACAGGGAAAAAAAGAGAGAGAGAGAGAGAGGGAGAGAGAGAATAGAGCAAGGCAGCTGGAGGAAGCGTGGGAGGGCTTTGTAGACTAAATGTTTGCTTCTCTGAAAGTTCTCATGTTAAGAGTCCGTCCCCGCAATGTGGTGATGCTAGGAGGTAGGGGTTTGGGAGCTAATTAGGCCTGGAAGGTGGAGCCCTCGTGAGTGGGGGAATGCCCTCATACAGACCCCGGGAGCTCTCTAGCCTTCTTTCCTCCAGGAGAGGGTGGGGGAAGGTGACAGTCTGATATCTGGGAAATGGCCTCACCAAGACCCTGACCACACAGCTCCCTGGTCTCAGCCTCCAGCCTCGGGTCCGCTGGGAAGAGACCCCTGTTTTTCTGAGCCACATGGCCGATGGGGACGCGTCACAGCCGCGCAGGTGAGCGCCGAGGGCTGCAGGCGGCCGAGGAGGCGTTCTGTGAGGAGGTGACATGGAGGGACAGCAGGATGGACTCAGACCCATGAGGATCTGCGGCAGAAGGTCCCAACAAAGTGCAGAGGCCCCGAGGCTGGAAAAAAGTCACCGTGGCTGCAGCAGAGTGAATGAGAGGCAGGTGGGGAGATGAGGTCAGAGGCGGGTGGAGGCCTGATCAGGCTGGCTGCTCTCCAAGGAGGCCCCATAGCTCCTTGGCTCCAGGCAGACCCCCTTCCCCTCTCTCACCACCCCCTGCCCCCCAATCAATGAGGCCCCTGGCAGCCTCCACAGCCCAGGCCAGCTTCTTTCCTGTCTTGTCTGTGGGAGAAGAGGGAGATCCCCTGGTGTGTGCATGGTGGTGGCGGGTGCTGGGAATATGGGGTCTGGAGTTCTGGTCTGACTGGTTATGTGACCTTGAGCCAATCTCCTCTCCTCACTTGACCTCAATCTTATAAGCTGAGACGTGAGAGACCTGGACCACGGAGCTCTCAGTTCCGTGGACGGCACATGGAGGAGAGGGGGCAGGGGGGAAGGAGACCAAACCAAGTTGAAGCTGAGGAGCTGGGTGCTTTGCTTGGCTCCCTGCTGAGGCCTCTGAAGCCACCCGGGAGGTTATCCTGAGGAGGAAGTTTGGGCCAGTCTGTGATGGCATCACTGTCCTCCGGTCGCTCCTGAGGGGTAGAGGGCCCTTGCAGTTAGGCTGATGGGCAGCAGAGGGCGCCCACGGAATGGCCAGGGATCCTGGGAAAAAGGAAGCAGTTGGTCTGGGGTTGGTACATGATGGTTGGCGGCTGCTAATGGGTTCATTCTCATAGTCACCGGTGACACCGGGTATGTGTCCCTGTGGGCTCACGGACAAAGGTTCACTGTGCCCTCTCTGTGGTGGGCACTGCTCTAGGCAAACAGGAAAACAGGACGATGTAGCTCAGGAGTGGAGTGGGGATAGCTTCCATCTTAAAGGTCTGATTGGAGCGCCATGCTGGGTGCTTGGAGTTCGGCGTTAGGAAAGACTCTGAGGCTCATCCGGACGCCGGGAGAGGGAATGATGTGATTGGTGAACCTTGTCTGTCAGGGTGAGGCTGGGGAGGGGCCAACACGGGTGGCGGTTTTTCTGTTTCTTCGCTCATGCAACCTCATTATGGGACAACTGGGCAGATCGAGACTCAGAGGCCAAGTTTATCCACCCAAGGTCCCGCAGCTGGCAAATGGCAGGGTGAGGGTACGTGCGTTGTGCAGTCTCTGGGCCCAAAGAGACTGCATCTCCCGGCCAGCAGGGACTCGCTGGACATGGGCACCAATGACCATCCTGGTGCCGGAGTGCTCAATGGTGGGGCGGGCACCTGGTATATGGCCAGTGGGGGTAATGCTCTGATATTGGGTGTGTAGAGGACCAAACTGGGGGCCGGTGGGGCAGGATGGACCATCCCAGGACCCGCAGGAGGGGCCAAACAGCAGCCGCACTGGCAGAACTCAGGCCGCTGAGTGGGTGGAGGGTGCTGGGCTGGCCCCGGGCGGTGGGAGATGAGGTGGCTGAGCCAGCGTCCCGCTGTGGGGCATCCGCACCGATTGTGGGCACCGGCGTGAGGCAGCAGAACCCGAACGCGCGGGGAGGAAAGGGCTGAGCAGGCCCAGCAGCGTGGGAGATGGAGGGGCCGTCAGTTGTCCCGGGGGGCCGGCCAGGGGGCCTCCGAGAGGAGCTGCTTAAATGCTAAGTGTTAAAACAAGGCGTGTTTATCTGCAGACCATTTGGAAGACGCAATAAGACATAAAAAATAAACTATAATCAATCCCATTATTCAGGAATGATTGCGACCAATAGCTTAATCGTGTTTTTATCCATAACCACAATATGGTGCTGTCTGTAATTTTGAATTTTATTTTTAAATATATTTTATTGATTTTTTTTTTTTTTTTACAGAGAGGAAGGGAGAGTTAGAGACATCGATGAGAGAGAAACATCCATCAGCTGCCTCCTGCACACCCCCACTGGGGACATGCCCACAATCAAGGTATCAATCCCTTTATCGGAATCGAACCTGGGACCCTTGAGTCTGCAGGCTGACGCTCTATCCACTGAGCCAAACCGGTTAGAGCTTGGTACATGAATTTAATTTTGTATTACTGAGGGCCTTCATTCTCAACGTGAAAGCCTTGGCAGCATCAGCCGTCACCTGGGAACGTGTTAGAAATGCATTCTTGCCCCTCCACCCCGACCCCCACACCTACTGAACCAGGGACTGGGGGGCGGGGCCCAGTGGCCTGTGTGCACACACCCACCCCATCAGGGATGCCAATGTGCCCTGAAGTTTGAGAACCACTGACTTCATGTGTTAGGAACAACTTCCACTGTCACTAAAGATGTCTGGCGATCTGGTGTTTAATGCTGGAGTGATCATTTATGGAGTTGACTTCATCCATCCTCTAAGCCACATGTGTCAAACACAAGGCCCGCGGGCCAAATCCGTCCCGCCAGGCCTTGCAATGTGGCCCGCACCGCGCTGTCATCACTGCACTCCGCTGCGTTTCCATCACAATGACAGTTTATGACTGTTCAGTAAACCATTCGGCCCGCGATTTAGGCTGGATTTTAGATTTTGGCCCCTTCTCTGATTGAGTTCGACACCCCTCTCTAAAGCAATGCTGTGGTGGCCATCTGGTGTGCACACACGTCCATGTGCACAGCGGGGCCGGCTTGGGGCAGTGCCCTCTGAGCGGGGCCTGGCACCCCTCCAGGCGGGCGGGGCGGGCGGGGCAGATGCCGTGACTGGAGGCTGTCTGTCTTGGACTGCGTGCAGACTGAAGGGCCCCGGGCTCTTCCTCCCGGCACACCGCCCCTCCCCCGGGGCCCTGGCAGAGCACGGAACAGTGGTGAACATGCCCGCATCAGTGGGAAGGGGCTTGGCAGGAAAGAGTCCAGCCCGCCCAGGTCTGAAAGGCCGTGGTGCAAAGCGGGGCGTGGACCGAGGCGTCTCTGCCCTCTCTCCCGGGGGAAGCGCCCGGCCCGGTGCCAGGTGAGGTGTCCTGGAGGGCCGGGGCGGGGGCTCTCTGGTGAGCTGTGGGGGCTGGCGCCGCCGGAGGCTCCGGGCCTGCTCTGGCCGAGGTGTCAGTAGAAACCGTAGAAGAAGAAGGAAGCAGTTTGGCTGCTGTCTACACTCTGTTGGGGCTTAACCCAAACCACACTGGTTTTCTCCGCATGGTTTCTTGGCAACGTGGAGACCAAATATGGCGAAAAAGAAGTGACGGCCCGGGATAGGTGAGGACGCCGCAGGGCAGTCTGGGGAGCTTCGCACGAGCTCAGACCTTCAGCCCCACAGGAACCTCCACAGCGACCACCGCAGGCACCGTCACTCCTGAGGCAGGTCCTCAGGGAGCACCGCAGGCTGGCAGCGGGGAGGTGGGGGCTTTTGTATAATTAAAAAAAAAAGAGGAGTGGGCAGAGTCTGGGAAGTCTTCAGCTGACCAGGAGGCCCTGCCTCACGCTGCTGTGATGTTCTAGAACAGACCAGCGAACAGCCGCTCGACGTGACAACTGCCGAGAACACAGTCTCCGCTCGCTTTTCCCCTTTGATCCGGCGAGCAGGCCCGGTGTCGGCAGGAGCAGGCGCAGCGGGACTGAACAAGCTCCCCAGGTTCTCCCCGGGGCACCCCTCCGTGGGCCCCAGTTTGTGTGAGTCCCTCGAACCCCCCTGCTCTTCCTCTCCCCGTGCCTCTGGGCCTGCATCCCTGCTGTTCCTTCTTCCACGGGAATGCCGGTGCCTCACCGTTTCCTAGCCAGCCCCTCCCGCTCCCTCCAGGCCAGTTTCAGCATCATTTCCCCGGGGGGCCTCCCGTCTGCACGCAGGACGAACCTCCTCCGGCCAAGCCCAGCACCTGGTGAGCGTGGTCCGTTTCTGTGTTGCAGGCATGGCGTGTGCAGGGCACGCAGGGGTGCGAGTGGAAGGAATAAAAGGGATCCTGGCTTGGCCTGTGTCCTGAGGGCTGGTGGAAGGCCCTGGGACAGCTAGCCTGGAAAAGGGAAGGGCCAGAGGCCGTCGTGTGGAAGACAGGCTCCGTGGTACCGAGAGCCAGGACCAGGGCGGAAGTCAGAGGGAAGCAGGTGCTTGCTTACTCCCGGAGCATCCCACTGTGCCGGCGACGGCTGCAAATGGGGGTTTGAGGGTGCCATGCTTCAGAGGCTTCACGCCCGTCTCCTGCATGGGCGCCCACCCCTCTGCCTCTGGGCAGGTGGCCAGTCAGGTGCCTGCCTGTTGCCTGGGGCACCGAGGAGGCCCCACCCTCTGGGGGCCCTGATTCCCCCCACCCCATCCCTCTGTGCTGACACGCCCGCCGGATTGGGGGCGCAGAGGCTTTGTTTGCTGGACGTGGACGCGGGCTGTCTGGCCTTGGAATCGGGTGCGCCCAGCTGCGGGTGGACATGTTTCCGATGACGGGCAGATACGTGGGGAGCTGGGTCTGGCTCAGGAACGCACCCAGTGGTGGGCCCTCTGGCTGCAGCGGGCCAGGGCTGTGCACCGTGGTCACTCCTGCTTACAGTGCGGGGCTCATTGTCCACCC